GATGAACCTCATATACAGAAAGACTGTGGGAGGAGTGGCCAAATAGTTTGGGGTGACTGGAGGAGGGGTCTAAGGAAGATCTGAATGGGAGTGGCCAGTAAGCTGGGGTGAACAGAACTCCTGGGACCTAGACAATGGAGCCTAGCTAGGATTAAGTGTGGGGAATGACCAGGGGCTATAGGGAGATAACACAATGGAGGGGAGATTGGCATTTTAAGATTTTCGGAGGGCTTTCTTTACAACCACCAGTGGGAGCAGAGCTTGTGGTTATCCACATACTTTAAATAAGGAGACAGACTCAGAGACGCAGAGTAGTATAATGGAGAAACAATTGAATTTAGAATTCAGAGACCTGGGTTTCCGTGCTTCTCTTCTGCCTGCAGCTTCTAAAGTCTTATTTAATAATTAATAATAGCTAGCATTTATATAATACTTTAAAATTTGCAAAGTGTTTTACAAATATTTTCTCATTATATCCTCACAACAACCCAGGGAGGTAGGTGCTGTTGTTATCTCCATTTTACAGATGAGCAAACTGAGGCAGACAAAGGTTAACTAACCTGGCCAGCTCACAGAGCTAGTACTTAAGGTAGGATTTGAACTCAGGTCTTCCTGACTTGAGGTCTAACGTTCCAGCAACTGTGCCACATAGAGGCCATCAGCTCTCTCTCATACCTGGCGCCAGCCAGGAAAACTGTCACCATTTGTCCTTCTAAAGGTCAGCCTCAAAGAACATCCAGAGCAAAAGCCTACCCTCCTAGAGGGTTTCAACATTCCCTTTTCGAATTATGAGTCTCTTTTTGGGGCAGCAAATAGAACACTAGCCCTAGAGTCAGGAGGACCTGAGTTCAAATCCGATCTCAGACGCTTACTAGCTGTGTGACCCTGGGCAAGTCACCTAACCCGATTGCCTCAAAAAAAAAAAAAGTCTACTTTTGCATAAGTAGTGGCATGCAAAATGTCCCAGACTTGACTGGAAGTTCAGATTACATCCTATATTCTCAATTCTCTCAGATTCTAGCATATTATCATATTGACTGTGGTTCTGTCTTCTCTGACCTCTTACCTCTTCCACCTACCTATGTCCTCCCAGCACCTCCTATTCTCCCTCTCTCACAAGCTCTTTTCCTCCTCTCTTCCTCTCCCTCTCCCTACCTTCTTCTAGTTCCCCTTTTCCAATCATCCATCACTATCCTTGACAAACAGTTGAGAGGGTGGGGTGGAGAGGAGAATACAGAATCCAAAGGTGCATTGTCCAGCTGAAACCATCCCCCACTGTATGTGTAACAAAGTGCATTCCTTATTTCCTTTCTGTCTCCCTCCCCATTCTCTGCAAACCAGTGAATCCAGTCCCCTCGGTCTTCATCACAGAAGACCCTCTGTCTCTAGCTCCACACATGTTCCCTGGCTGTCCCCCACGTCTAGAGGTCTCTGCCTCCTGGCTTACTTGGTTTCCATCAAGTCCCAGCCAAAATCCTACCATCTTTCCCAATCCACCTTAATGCTAATGCCTTCCCTTCAGTTTGTCTCACACACACACACTTAGTAGAGAGGAAGGAGAACAGAGTACAGAGAGCACTGGACTTTCCATGGGGAGAACGCACAAGTACTTCACCACTTTTTGGCTTCAGCTAATCTTGAGCAAATTGTCACAGGCCAGAGGCTCAGAAACCTGGATTCAGGGATCAAGAGCAGAAGTTATACATTTACCAGGCAGGCAGGTTCGAGACACCAACTTTCCCCAACTGACAGGCAGCATGGTCCTGAAGTTCTGCGTTTAAATCACTTTTTTGGAATTTAGGACATATTTGCCCAAAGAAAAAAATTGGGCTAACCTGATTCAATCCCAGGCTAGTTCACAAAAGCCTTCCTCAGTTGTTTGTTAATTGTGATCAACTCTCCATGACCCTATTTGGAGTTTTCTTGGCAAAGATACTGAAATGGGTCTCTATTTCCTTCTCCAGCTCATTTTACAGGATGAGGAAACTGAGTTAAGTGACTTGCCCAGGGTCACACAGCTAGGAAGTATCTGAGGTTGGATTTGAACTCAAGAAGAAGAGTCTTCCTGACTTCAGGGTCAGCACTCTATCTATCCACCATGCCACAAACCACACCTGACCACATTTTATGATGGGAAAGTGAGTTTAGAATTCAACTATGAGGTTCCAGATCTAGTGAGACTCCCATTTTATAGCACTTCATAGCACAGTATTCTGAAGTAAGACTGCCGAGGTGCATCAATGAATCTAGACATTCTCGCTTTGGTCTGTCCCTCCCACCCAGCCCACCCTACCCCATTCCATCCCACCCCTAAGTAATGGTTGATGAGACCCAAACAAGCAGCCAAGGACCTTTGGAGGAGGGCCTGCCCTGAGGTAGGAAGTGTGAGTGCATTGTCCTCATGTTGCCCAGGAGACAAATTGAGACTCAGCAAAGTGAAGGGAGTTAGCCCCAGATCACACAGCTGGGATTCAGGTGCTTTGACTTCAGATGCCAATGTTTCTTCCCCTACACCCTGAGGCTCATTGGGTCCTACCTCTAGGAGGGCTCCATTGGTGTTTTATCAAGGAAGCTGGTTTCTCCCTATGGAAATATCGTGTTGTGGTCAATTTTTAACTTTTTCAGTTTTGATTCTGGTAGACCTACCCATCTCCTCTATAGTTGGGGTGACCCCTCTGCCTTCCAGTGCTAGGTAAGTGGGTGTTAATTAGCAAGTGTCTTTGCCACCTAGGTACAAATCTCCACCCAGTCCTTTCTGACTACTCCCCTACTCCTTGTGACATCAACTGTTTCTCTCAGAGTACTGGAGTACTCTCACGTACATAGAGAACTGGACTTCTAGGCAGTTAGGCAATCTATAAGCATTTATTAAGCACCTACCTTGGGGCCAAGCACTGGCTACAAGCTGAAGATGCAAAGAAAGGTTAAAAAGAAAAAACTCAACCGAACAAAATTGTCCCTGCCTTCAGGGAGCTCACAGTCTAGAGAGGGAGGCAACATGCAAATTACTGGGTACAAACAAGCTATATACAGGACAAATTAGAAATAATCAACAGAGGAGGCACTAGAATTAAGGGAGACTGGGAAAGGCTTCTTGTAGAAGGCCGGATTTTAGGCAGGACTTGAAGGAAGCCAGGAGGCAGAGAGGAGGAGAGAGAGCATTCCAAGCATGGAGGACAGCCAGAACAAAGGCCTGGAACAGGGAGATAGAATGTCCTGCTCATGGAACAGCCAGGAGGCCAGTATCATTGGATCCAAGAGTAGCTGGGGTTGTGTAAGGCATAAGAAGACTGGAAAGGTAGGAGGGAGTCAGGTTATGAAGGCTTCTTAGTTCCAAGCAAAGAATTTTCTATCTGATCCTAGAGGTGATAGGGAGCCACTGGAATTTATCGAAAGGAGTGGCAAGGTCAAACTTGCACTTTAGGGAGATCATTTTGACCCCCGAGTAGAGCAGAGATTGGAGTGGGGAGAGACTTGGGGCAGACAGATTCCTCCCCCTCCCATTCCAGCAGCTATTGCAATGGTCCAGGTAAGAGGCAATAAGGGCCGGTCAAGAGAGTGGTGGCAGAGTCAGAGGACAGGAGGTCACAATAAGAGATGTTACAAAGATAATACTGAAGTGACTTGCCAATAAATCAGATATGGGGGTGGGGGTAAGAGTGAGGAGTCTAGTATGAACCTTAGGTGACTGGGAAGATGGTGATACCCTAATACAGAAGTGAGAAAGAAGGATGGATTGGGGGTGGGATTGGGATAACAATTGCTATCATTTACATGATGGTGCATATGTGACATATCAAATTGCTCACCATCTTAGGGAGGGGGGAGGGGAGAGAAAAATTTAGAACTCAAACTTTTATATTTAAAAAAATGTTAAAATTGTCTTTATATGTAATTTAAAAATAAAATATTATCTACTGGGGGAAATAGCCATCATTTATATAGTGCTTGAAATTTTGCACAATATTTTACAAATAGTATCTCATTTTATCCTTACAACAGCCCTGGGAAATAGGTGCTATTAATATCAGGAAGTCCTGGGTTCAAATCTCCCACTTCAAATTTTGTTCAGTTGTTTCAGTTCTATTTAACGCTTTGGGATCCCATTTGGGATTTTCTTGGCAAAGATACTAGAGTGGTTTGTGATTTCTTTCTCCAGCTCATTTTACAGATGAGGAAACTGAGGCAAACAAGATGAAGTGACTTGCCAGGGTCACACAGCTAGGAAGTGTCTGAAGCAGGATTTGAACTCAGGAAGAGGAGTGTTTCTGATTCCAGGAGTTCTATCTGCTATGGAGCCACCTTGCTGCCCCCTCTTTCAGATATACACAGGCTTTATAACATCCTCTCTCTTAGCCTCAGTTTCCTTATTTGGAAAATGGTCATAACAATATCGTACAGAGTTGCTGTGAGGTTCAAATGAAATAATATGTGTAAAGAATTTTACAAACATTAAAAATGCTATATAAATAACATTTACTTTATTCTCCTCTTCAGAATGCCGAGAGGATCAGAGAGGAGGAACTAGATGGGATTGTAGGGGTCATTTAGCCTAAGCCTCTCATTTTACACATGTGAAAACTGAGTCTCAGAAAGGGACCCAGTCTCCAGCTCTGCTGGTCAAAACTGGAGTAACAATGAATTCTAAGAGCTCCTGTCCCCTGTCACAGATGCCAAACCTGATGTCCTCAGGACTCAGGACGCCAGCACCCAAATCCTTCAGGTGATGCTGAAGCCCCACTGATGCCCTCAGGTAGGAAAACTGGCCCCCTGAGTATGAGATCGGATTCCCCTTCAGACCCAGGCCTGGGCCCTATGGAGCGTGACAAAGTCTCCCGGCCTCTGGGTTACTGATTAATGATGAGTTTAAAAAAAAAAAAACAATAACAACAACCACCGGGCGCTGGTACCAGTAACAGCACCACAGGGATTGGAACCAAAAGGCAGCTGTCACCAAAGGCTCGGTCACGTGATAAGAGAAAAGCAGCAGATAAAAGCCCTGCCCAACTTTATCGGAACTCTACTAAACCAAGCGGCAGTCAGTGCAACGTCTGGAATGGAGGAGACACAGGGCAGGCTTTTGGAGGGAGCAAGAACAGATGCACCAGACTTGGAAGCATCCCCTGAGGGCTGTGCCCATGCCCCAGAGCAGACAGTAATGCCCCAGCCTAAAGCCCTGGGAGCATTCCCTGCTGAAACGGAGGCTCAGGAATCCCCCAATTCTGCTGACAGAGACTTGGAGTGCCTGGTGTGCTGCCACCGATACAGCTGTGACCGGCTGCCCAAAGTGCTAACCTGCCAGCACGTCTTCTGTGCAGTGTGCCTGAGGCTCCTTCTGACCATCCGAGAGGACTCATGGATGGTCATCTGCCCCCTGTGCCGGTCAGCTACCTCTGTCCCAGGGGGGCTGATCTGCAACCTTCGGAACCAGGTGGAGGTCTTGGGGAGGCTGATGAGTCTCAGACCTGAGGTACAGCTCTCTCCCCAGCAGCTGGCTCAGCCCACGGGAGAAAGGGTGGCCATCGTGATGGATGGGGACACTGAGGACTTGGCCAGTGCCAATCGACTGGCCGCCCGGAGACTGGGTGTCCTCCTAGGGCTGCTGGTGCTTCTCATCTTCCTCATCCTCCCTTTTGTCTACCCTGGCATGATCCGGTGGGTCCTGGTCTTCATCATGTGCCTGGCACTGCTGCTTTCTTCTATGTTCTGTTTCCTACCAGGCAGCAGAGGCTGCTGTAGCCCTGCTAAAACCCTCCTGCCCGGACAGCAGAAACACAGCCATGTGGCTTCCATTGCCTGACAGGTCCCTGCTGGGGAAAAGGGCCAATGAAAAGATTCCCAAGAGGAAAAGACTCCTTCCAGCCAGAGACTTCCATATTTCAAGGAACAGGAAGCCATGGGGGTCCTCTCTGATACCGTGGACTAGCTGTTTGTCTCCCTTGGGAACCAAACATTCCCTGGCCTCATTGGATTCAAACATTGGAAAGTTGTCTGGTTCCATGGGTGTGTGTTTGGAAGATGAGGCAGAACCCAGCTGCTCCAGCCTTTGTTGTCCGGACTTCTAGGCTTTAGATGAGACCTGTTTAGGTTGGAGATGGAAGCCTACAGATGAAGAGGAAGAGGACCCTGGGGATATTGCTGTGTTTGCTTTTTACCTTGAACTGAAACAATTATTACTAGGTGGGTTTCTCACGCTATCTCTGTAAAAGGAAAGGGTTGGTCATCACCAATTCCAACACACTTGTTCTGATGTTCTCATATTAAGACCCCTTCCAACTATAACATTTTGTGTTTTAAGGCTCCTACCTCTGATGCTCCATCTTCTAAGACCCTTCCCAGCTCTAACATTCTATGTTCTAAGGGTCCTCCCAGCTCTTACACTTCATATTCTAAGAGCTTTGGAGTTCTGCATTCTAGGGTCCCTTGCAGTTCTGACATCCTATGAGTCTATGATTCTGTGATTCCCAACCAGGGAAGAATTGATTCATGCACTTCCAGGCATTAGGATCCCCATTTAAGCTTTGTCATAAAGATAAGAAGAGTCATAAATACAACGGTTCTTACCACCAACCTCCACCCCTTTCCAACAACTGTTTATCTGGAAAGTTTTCATTTAATGTGTCACTGGGGTGAAGGCCAGGGTCAGATGAAGGTCCTTCTAGGCCTTATAGACCTCTCTCTGTTTCACAAGCCTATTGGTTGATGCCTTTTTCATAAGTGTATTGATTTCTCTGAGCAGATAGATGACCAAAACTATCTTATGTGTCTCTATTTATTCAAGAAGAGACCTTTGTTACAGCTTTTTAGCAAATAGCTTCCAAAAAAAATAAACCTTCACTCTCCCCATCCCACCAAAAAAAAAAGGCTCACATGGTCAAAACATTTTCCTTTGGCCTTCAGCACAGTGGGCCTGCTGGGCACATTGGATAATGGGGCCATCTAGAAAGTCTGAGGCACTTTTTTTTCCCTTGTCGTCATCTCCAAGTTAGAACAACTCTCGAAGGAGCAGACATGTTAGAAGGCTCTCAGCCAACTTTAACGGGCATCTTCAAGTCCTTTAATGTTTGAGATGTCTGGGTGCCTAGCCAAAGGAACCTAGAGAATGGAGAAAATAAGACTTTTAGCATTTGACCATTGATTCCTCTTGGGAAGAAATGAAAAGCAGTTACTGGAGCTAGATAAGTCTCCTGCGTGTTCCCAAGATAACTCTGTATTTCTGTAAAAATGAGGGACTTGGACCATAAGGCGGTCCCAGCTCTGACATCCTGTGCTCTGTGCTTCTGTGATTTCCATCTGGAACACAACTGAATTTTCTTAGAGAAATAAAATGGTGGCCCCAGGGCCTGCAAGCAAATGGTTGATTGTACTGTACCTGGACCAGGTCCATAAAGCTGGAGTTCCCTGTGGCTTAATGATTATCATCCTTTACCCTATCAGTTGATATTTGTGGAATCGTGTCCCTTGGGGGCTCAGCACTGTGCTAGACAAATGCTCCAGTCTGTGGGGGCTCCTTCAGGGCATCTTTGACAGGAGAACTCAGGGATATGCCTCACTTAAGAAACAAGCGAACAAACCAATTCCCTCTGAATGCTCAGAATTTGGTATTTCCTTTTTCAAAAATGTTCTTCACCTCACTATCCTTTAAAAATTATATATAATGTATATAATTTTGTTTTTAGAAACATATATTTATATAAAATATATTCTATATGTATGTGTATGTTTGTAGTTATTTCTTCCTTTGCTCCCAGCACTGAAATCATGGGTTAGAAGGCTCTGGGGCAATTCACGTGTTGGACCTTCCAATCACTAGGGATGCTCACTCTTGGTAATGCCTTGTGAAAAAAGGCATGGGGAAGAAAAAAGAGAATGGCTATAGAAGGAAGACCACGTGCCAGATGACAGGTTCCAAGACCTGGGTTTGAGTTCCACTTCTGCCACAAACTCAGCTGGAGCTTCGGCAGTTCACTTCCTTCTCTCCGTTGCTTCTTCCGTAAAATTGTTGGGAGGGGAGGAAGGGAAGTGAGATTAACCCTTCTACACTAGATAGATAGTCTCTGAGACCTCATTTAGACAGGTTGGTGGTACGGTACATAGTGCACTGAGCCTAGAGTCAGGAAAACCTGGGTTCAACTCTGTCTCAGGTACTTACTAGCTGTGTGCCCCATGGCAATGCTGTTTGCCTCAGTTTCCTCATCTATAAAATGGGAATAGTGGTAACACCTACCTCACAGGATTGTTGTGAGGATCAAATGAGAGAATAATTGTAAAAGCATTTAGGACAGTCCCTGGTACATAGTAGGTGCTTAATAAATGCTCGTTCCCTTCCGTTTCCCTTCATTCAGCATTGAGTCAATGCGTATATTTAACTATCATGTGAATCTAAGTATGCATTTTTAAAATAGGTATTTGAGGTTTACCTCTGTAAAGCCCAGGTATAAACCATGATCAGCATCTTGGGCCCAATGTGCTTTTTCTTTTGGGGGGGGCAACCGGGGTTGAGTGACTTACAGAGGGTCACACAGCTAGTTTGCATCTGAGGCCAGACTTGAACTCAGGTCCTCATGACTCTGGTGCCAGCATTCTATCCACTGCACCAACCCAAGTCCGTTTTATACATGATCTGGAAAAGACTGATTCTCACCCAATATCACCAGTAAATTCAGATAATTGTTTTGGATTTTCAGGCTTCTATTGGTCCTAGGTTTTTCAGGTTGGCTGTGTGACTCCCTCATTCTTATCTTCCAGATAGCCCCTTCCAGCACCCCTATCCTGCCCCAATTTTTAGTCTTCTATTTCTCTAACCAAATGGAAAGGCACAGGTTTTAGGCATAGGAAATTCACCCAGCTAGGTTTAAGTCCTTACTCTGCCACTAATTCACTACATGACCTCAGGCAAGATACTAAACCTCTCTGGGCCTCAGTTTTGCCATCTGTAAAATGAGTCAACTAAGTGATCTCGGAGGTCCACTTCTAATTATTTAAGACGACCTAGCAAGCACCCTAGAGTGCCCAAGCACACCACTCAAGAATCGCTGCAAGAGACCAAGGGAGGCAATACCGGGCAGACCTAAAAAAGGAGTTTCCTGAAGTAGTTCCCATGTATTCAAAGTCAACACTATTTGAAGTTATGTAAAATATGATCACTGGCTCCAGGCCAATGGAAATATGCAGAGCAGACCCAAATAATGCAACCGATAGAGGAGATGTATTATTCACACCTATCAGGACCTAGAAAATGTGCTAGACTTAGAGTCATAAAGCCTGGCTAGCTGTGCGCCTTTGAACAAATCACTGCTCTTTCTCTCCATGTTTAACTTAGCTCTTCTGTAAAATGTTGGGGTTGGACTAGATGGTCTTTTAAGGCCCCTCCCAGCCTTGACATTCTGTGTTCTGAGGCCCCTGCCAGCTCTGATATTCTGTGTTCTGAGGCCCCTCCCAGCCCTGACATTCTGTGTTCTGAGGCCCCTCCCAGCTCTGACATTCTCTGATCTAAGGGTACACCTAGCTCTGACATTCTACGTTCCAAGGGCCATCCCAGTTCTAAAACTTCATGACTCTTTGTAAAATCTGACATATTTGGAGCCTCATGCCTATCCAGAGAGCTAGAAGGAAAGAAAGAAGGAATGCAAAGCCTGGGATGGATGCATGCTTGCTGTGTGGTATGGTAGCAAAGAGTGGTGTAAGCCACCAGGTCCAGTCTCAAGGCTGTGTGACCTTAGGCAAGTCATCAAACTTCTCTGGGCCTCATTTCCCCCTATCAAATGGACATAATTCTCCCTTCCCTGCCATTCTCATCAAGCTGTTGCTAAGGATCAAATGAGATCCTTTTGTGAAAGTGCTTAGAAGCTAAGGGCAAATGTCCTCGCTCCCTCTCTAACTAGCAACACCCCCTCCCATCTCCGGTTGACTTGCTTGGGTGGGGGCTCAGATACTTCACATCAGCAGCCCCGCCCCCTACAGCCCAGCCAGCGCTGACCAGCCTCTAGCTCCTGGTGCCATAGAGGCCACCTGTCCCTTGGAGTGCTCTTCCAGGGACAGAGGACATCAGCCGCAGCTGCTTTCCTTTTGAAGAAAATAAGGAGACAGACTACGCATGGAAAGTGAGTATGTATAAATAAGCCATATAATCAACCTGAGCTCTTATTTGAGGAGAAGAACCCCCACCTTGACCCCCATAGGTGCGGGGTTGGATCAAGAACCCTCAGTTCACCCTCTGGAGGCCTACAGAGGTTCCTGCCACTGGATTGGCCGAGCATCTGGGGATGATGGCCTTAGGAGGAGAGGGCAGCTGTCACCATGAGACATAATTTAAGAGGTTCTAGAAAGCTCTCCACTTGGAAAATGTCTTCTCCAATGGCCTGCTCCCGTGGCATGAAATCCCACCATTCGAGTTTTGTTCCTTGTAGTGGTTAAGGCACTATCTCCAGTCCAATTCAAAAGCTCATCTGAGGCAAACACTGGCTAAAAATAGAGGTTTTAATGGGAGCGGGGCAGGTGCATTCATTCATCAACCATCAATTGTAAAGTATTATGAACAGAATTCTGCTCAACAGTCCACAAAGCTCATGAAAGGCAAGTTCTCTGCCCTCACAGAACTTAGGGTGCAGTAAAGAACTGAGTCACAAAACAGATGACTCTTTCACAGAATATTAATGGAAGAATATACATGGAGAACAGTACAACAAAACCCTATGGGAGGTCTAGGGAGAAGGTCATTACCAAATGAAGGGGCCACCATTCGCTTACCTCCAAGGTCCCTTTCAGCTCTTTTTAGAGCAATGGATGAGTATAAAGATGGAGGGAGGGCATCCCATAAATAGGGAGCAGGGTGAGTATGGGGAAGGGTTCGAGGTACTCAGGGGGCAGTGAGTGGGCAGTCCCTTCTGGCTATGGAATCATGGGTGTGAGGGGAGCTGGGTATGGGGCATTGTCCGTGTCAAGGCCTGGGAGGCCAAGGAAGTAGGAGGGCATTAGGTACTTTGAGTAGTGGACATAGGGAGATTGAAAAAGATTGAAAAGGAAAAGGGAAGGTACTAGAATACTGAGGTCACCAGGCTGGGAATCAGGAGTCTCAGGATCTCGGCCCAGCTCTGCCATTAACTAGTATACTGAGCAAGTTACGTTACCCTCTGGGCCTTAGTTCATATAAAATAAAGAAGATAAGCTTGGCCTCGGAGTTCTTCCAGGCCTAACATTCTGTATTCGAAAGTTCCTTCCAGTTCTATGTCTCAAGGTCGCTTTCAGATGGAACACGTTTTGTTCTATGACCTGCATTTGGTGCTACCGTTCTCGTTTAGAACATTCTCACTTCTAAATCTCTTCTACTTCTCACAGTCTATGTTCTTAAGGCCCCTTTCAGCGCTCATCTTCTGTGTTCCAGGGTCTCTTCCAGCTCTATCATTCTGTGTTCTAAGAGCCAGATCTGACATCCTGTGTTCTAAGAAACATACCAGCTCTGACATTCTATGTTCTTACGGTCTCTCTCAGTGCTCCTATTCTGTGTTTTAAGGTCCCTTCCAGCTCTAAAATTCTATGGTCTCTGGACCTTCCCAACTCTGACATTGTGTTCTAAGGGCCCTCTCAGCTCTCACATCCAGTTCTGATGTTCAATGTTCTATGCTTTCAGGGCTAACACTCTATGTTCTGAGCTCCCTTCCAGTTATAGTATTCTGTTCTAAGGTATTATCCAGCTCTGATATTCTGTGATTCTGTATGAATTTGATGGTCCAAGGGTCCCTTTCAGTTTTTGACAGATAGGAGATTCTATTCTTGACAATTTTGAGGTCTCAGCCTTCCTAAGGATGCTCTGAAAGGATCATCCCAGGAAGAACCTCTCCTTTCTCCCACGATAGTAGCCTACAGCTGTACATACCAGACCCCAGACTGCAAGGCTCCAAGTCAGGATGGGATGGCCTTACCCCAGGCACACATGGGGTATCATATAAATATAAATAACAGCTTCTCAAATGCTTCTAAACAGTTTGTTCCCAGAAGCTGGTTAACTTCCTCCACATCCACCACCAGCATCGTTTACTTTATGAATTTGCTGAGCAAATCCTTCACTGTGCGCAGGGAAACATTAGCCCCAGAGCCCT